AGTCTGCTCGAGCTGCTGCGCCGATCCAGTGGGCTGGCTCGAGCCGGAGGCAGACCCAGCCCCACCAGTGGACGGGGTTTGGCGAGCAGGAGGAGGGACGTAGCCGTCGGGGAGCTTGAAGGTGCGCTTCAGCAGGTCATCCCGCTCCACGACAAGCTCAAGAAGGCCGGACCACCAATCATGATCGTCGGCAGGTCGAGGGCATTTTGATAGCCAACAGGGGCCTTAGGCATGGCATCCCATATGGTTTCCATGTTGAACTCCTCGAACCCGTCCTCAGCCACTTGAAGCCCCGCTTGTTGCATTATGGCCCCAAAGCAGTGGGTGCCATAATCCTGCACGTCCTTTAGATATTGTGGTGACTGCTTGAAGGCAGCCACCACCTCTTCACGATAATTCTGCAGGAAGCGCTTGCCGGCGGTTGTGTGGAAGACCATGCATCGGGCTCGGAGGGCAGCCTCATCGATCAGCGGTTTCGCCCTCTGCTCAAAAGCGATGTTTTCGCGCGCTCGTGCCGACTTCTCCTCCTCGAGCGCCACCTCGAGAGCCTTTTTGGAAGCCAGGAGAGCCTCCTTCTCGGCTCGCTCGGCCTCGAGGGCTTCCTCGAAGGATTTCAAGGCCCCCTCGAGCGTTTCTTTCTCATCAGAGAGGACCTTATTGCGGGCAGCCGACTCCTTTAACCTCTCGTGGAGATCGTTTGCCTTGGCAATAGTTTCCTGCAGCTGAGTGCCAAGACGAAGATTACTCCGCTCGAGGGCCGAGATAGATCGACCCGGACTTGCCAACGTTTGCTCGATCAATGGCGCGAGCTCAACCATTCCCTACAAAGGTGCGTAGAAGAAAGTGTTAAGAACACTAACGAAGGAAGGAGGATGAAATAAGATAGATAGGTGTTAAGTCGCAGAAAACCACCTGAGCCAGCCAGCGAGCGAGCCGATGGCCCCGATCTTGCAGGGTATGACCATCGTTATAGCTGTCGGTAGGATGGTCGACGGAAGGAAGAACGTCCCGGAGAAAGTGCGAGAATCTTACGCTGTTAAAGGTGGTAATCGACAGCGCAGTTTCCTCCACGCGACGGCGCTTGCCGACATCCTCAGCCCCTGCAGCAATGGGACGCTTAAGTGAATTCTCTCTGAGCTGAGTCTGCTCAGGAGAAGCGGGAACGTGTATGATCGGAGTAGGCTGATCGTGTGAAGGAGAACGCGCCGGAGAAGGTTCGTGCGGAGGAGAGGAGGGCCTTTGATGCTGGTCGGCCGGCTTGGTTGGCTGGTCAGCGGGAGGCTGGACCGAAGATGGCTGCTCGGCAGTTATATTAGGAGGAGGTGAGGTCGAGCGCACAGGTTGTGAGGCGGTGGAGTCAGCAGGCTTGGCACTCGACCCCTTAACGGCGGTTTTCTTCTTTAGGGGAGCTCTCCTCCTAGGCACAGAAATAGTGGGCATCTCTGCAAAAAACGTACACGCAGGTCAAAACCGCAATGAATACATAATATATGAGATAAATATGGTGATGCTCAAGCCTATTTAGCAAAGATGCATGCCTAGGAAGAGGGCATGATTTGTGGGTAAGCAGCCCACAAAAATGCAGGAGGTTCTCATCCTCCAGAAGGGTCTTCGACGCAACGGGCTTGCTATTCCATACTGCAATCCGTTGGTCGAAGAGGGCGTTGGTGGAAGGCACGAAGTATTCTCGAGGGAGTTCCTTGAGCCAAGGAGATGGGGCCCAAGGAAAAGCAGGTTTGGGCTCGACAAAAGCGAATTTGTCTTTCCAGCGGGGAACGTTTGAAGGGGTATCCGAAATGAAATGGACGTCGTTGCGGCTCTTGAGGTAGATCCCCTGAGCATGTTTCAAGGGAATATAGCAGTAATGGAAAAAATCCAGGTCAAGTCGACTTAGACGAACGCGGCAAAGGATGATGAAGACGGTAATAAATCTGATGGCGTTGGGCGGAAGTTGGTTCAAGGGTAGGTCGAACCACTTGCAGAGCTCGATCAAATCCTGGCTTAAGGGAAAGCGGATGCCAAGTTTAAATAGAATTTCAAGAAAGTATAACAGTTTTGGGGAGGGTGGTCATAGGTATCTCGAGAGCTCGGGGACAAAAAAGCCCAATTGGTAGGATAGCCAACTTCTTCGACATCCAACCAACCAGCTATGAGGGAACGAGAGGAAGAAGAAGCCTTTTTTGAAGAGGTGGACACCTTAGCCGACTTACCCTTCTTAGGAGCAGCCTTAGGAGAAGTAGAGACGGGGATAGACGAAGAAGCAGCCCGAGCAAAAATGGAATGGCGAGAAAGAGGAATATTGTCTTCGTCTTTCTCAGCAGCGGCTTCGGCGGCATCGAGGGCCTCTTCAACGGCATCAGAGGCCCCAAACGCCGGTCGGCGACGATTCAGAGGGATGTGATCGAGGGTATCCCCATTTGATTCATCAATCAGACGAGTAGATCGGCGAGGAGGAGAAGGTGTGGTGTAATCAGAAGGGCGTAGAACACTGAGGGGAACGGGATTGTAGATTTCCTCAACGGAGCGAGAAGGCGAGTGAGTAATAGGCTGGCGAACAGGAAAAGACGATGCGCTTGCCTCATCCTCACTGAACTGATGGCTCGGTACGTTAGAATCAGCGGAATCTGAAAAGAAGAGCAAAAATTGAGGGAAAGAGAAGAGGAATTAGGGTTTTGAAAAGCAAGAAAGGTAGGTTTTTTGCCGCTAGCGGAGCAAGAAGAATGGGGGAAAAGGGAGAAACAACGGGAAAATCGAAAAATTGACAAAATAAACACATGTAAATATAAAATCGGAGCACAGGAGACTTACTCATGGTCGCGGTGGAGAAGTGGTCGTCGGAAATTGCTTGAAGAGGCGCCGAGTGCAGGAAGGAGAAACTTGCAGAGAAAGAAAGCAGAATGCCAGAGAGTTCGAAATTGCAAAGTGGGAAAAGTGGAAAAAAGGGCTAAGTATTGCATTTATATGAGTACAAATGAATAAGGTGAAGAGTTAGTGGATATGGCCGTCGGATAAAAGTAGATCCAACGGTGGAAAATATTAATGGGGCGCAGATAACGAAGCGACACAAATCGCGAGGAGGCGCAATGATGAAAAGTGCAGAGTGAGAGGACATGTGGCAGGCGGAAACCACGCTGAATAATAAAAGAAAATAAAAGACAGTTATGATGCGCATTAAAATGAACCATGTGGTCGGAGAAAGGTGCCAACATCAGCAAAAATGGTCGAGAAAAGAGGCTGGGCATCGACATCAACAAAAATGATCGAGAGAAGAGATCAGGTGCGAGTAGGAGATCGAGAGGATTGACAAAATGGAAAGGACGGCTCGAATCCACTCTTAGATCGAGTCATTCAGACTCGACCAGAGTGGGGGGGACTAGATGATGTGGGATATTATACGACTAAGGAGCAGACCGGTTCGTCATGTCGGCCAGGCAGGCATAGAAGAGAAAACTACGTTGGTTGAAGGATGATCGACCAAAACGAAGATGTCGAGCAGAACAGCAGAGTTGGTCGAGGTATCGACCTAGCGAGGGGGAGCTCGATCATATCGGGCATACAACAGGTAGGAGGTAGTCGAGAGCGTGACCTGAACGCGAGTAGGCGCGTGGTGATGGCAGGAGATCCCAACGGCCTGCGCAAAGGAATAATTCCCCTCAGCTCAGAAGGGACACGTGGCGAGAATATATTGGTGCAGAGTAATAGTGGCAATAACCACCTCTGACACCCCTGACATTTCTGACAATACACGCACAGTGTGTGTAAGGACGGGCAGCGCGGGCAGGACAACTCACCAAATATCCGGGCAGCTCTTGGGGCAGGTATCCCACTCCTATATATATATAGGAGTGGGTCTTTTCTTAGGGTTTACGATTTATCCATTCTTTACTTTGGAAAATTGAACAAACACATACTGACTTAAGCATCGGAGGCTCTTCACCGGAAAACCCCTCCGGTGTGAGAGTTCTGTGCAGGGACGCGGCGTTCTATCGGCAAGGAAGGAGGAAGCAAACCGATTTCAAGCCGATCGGAGTGTTTTGCGTTACCACACGTGACTCGGGAGAAAGACACGTGTACTCTGAGGACCGTTAGTGTCCAAAGTCAAGGCTGAAGCCCAACCTCAAGTTAGGCCTAAGGTCCCGAGTAGCCTTACTCTAGGCCCAAGGTCCTGAAGAGAATTACTGTAGGCCCAAGGTCCAGAGGAGCTTTACTTTGGGCCCAAGGTCTAAGATCATCCCACCAAGCTAGTGGGCTGGGAAGTCCTACGTCTGTAGAAGGGAGACCTAGGTCGTCCGACTCCTACAAAAGGACAACCTAGGTCAAGGTAAGACACATTCTCTACTACTCAAGACTCTTCTCTACGCATTATACAGTCACCACCCAAAAATCTACACTAGTAGAAAAAACACTTTTCACATCGGGTATTTACATCGGTTTTTTCACAACCGATGCAAAAAACACCTTTTACATCAGTTGTAACATCGGTTTTGTAAAAACCGATGTGAATCGTCATCAGGCGCATCGGTTCTTATAAAACCGATGTGAACAATTTGGTATAAAATATTATTTACATCGGTTCTATGTACAACCGATGTTAAAAATATAATATACAACATCAGTTTAAAAAAACCGATGTATTCTAGTATAAAAAATACTTTTCACATTGATTGTTTACATCGGTGTTGTTCAAAACCGATGTTATATTATGATCTTTCCTTGGGCAAATCGGTTATTGTAAACCGATGTTAGGCATCATATTATTATTTAATATAGAAAAATAACTGTTCAATTCTCCAACTCTCCTTCCTCACGCTCAGAGCCTCCAACTCTATTTCTGCAATTTATTTCACGCCCCCCGTCGCCGTAACAATCGCCGTCCACCAAACTCGGCCTTCGCCTTCCGCCGCACTCGGCCCTTGCCGTCCGACGTCTTCCTAACTCTCGTCTCGCCCAAAATCGATAGAAGCTCTAGTCGCACTTGGCCTCCGTCCGTCCCAATCCCTAGTCGTCCGCCACACTTAATCCGCTCGTCGCCGTAACAATCTCCGTCCGCTGCACTCGGCCCTTGCCGTTCGTCGTCTTCCTAACTCCCGTTTCGCCCAAAATCGATCGAAGCCCTAGTCGCACTCGCCCTCCGTCCGTCCCAATCCCTAGCCGTCCAGCACACTAAATACGCCCTCGCCGTCCGTCCCAATCCCAGTCGCGCGCCGCCCGTCAGCCGCTCTTAGACCCTAAAAACTCAAATACGGTAATGCCGATGAAATTTATATTGTAGTGAATTTAATCATGTGTGTTTTCTGAATGTGCCAATATGTTGCTGTTTAATTGGAAAAAATGTGGCAGAGTAATCATATTATGCAGCTTATTGTTGTTGTTAAAGGCATAGGCTTTAACTGCCACAGTGAAAACTTTTGTGTGTTTTCCTCAATTTTATTGTTTAGTAATCTTTAAAAGTTCCAGCTGTAATCGTCTTTTCTGATGTAGCAGTTCCAGCTTTCTATTTAAACCTTGCATTTGCTAATTGCTAACTTTTATTTCCTGTTCAGGATTGATAATAAAGTCCCCTTCTCGCATTTCGACTCGTAATTTTTTATTTTGAGCTGGATTTGTTGGCATGTGCATGTGACTGATTCTATTTGGTTCTGAGAAGGGAGCTCTCGAATGTGTTCATGTTAATGATTTATGTTAATAGATTTTATTCTTGTAGCAGTTGCCCTTTATCAATTTTATATTTTAACAATAATAATGTGTATATATATAATATTGAGTTATCCTGATGTAGAGACAAAGTTGATTATCTATTGTAATCACAAAGTACAAGATAATGTCCTTCTTTTGGCATACAAAACTAATTTGATTTTGAGTGCTAATCCATTTCTTTAGATACAAAGTACAAGTGCTAATCCATTTCTTTAGATACAAAAAATTATATCATTCGTTTATAATTCAGATGTATAAAATACTATTTGAAGGAGTTGTGTACTTGTGTTCTCTCTTGATATTTCAGTGCCTTGTATCAGCTTCATCTTGTGAAAGCAGAGACTGCTCGAGCTTTGATTCCCAAAGAATTCAAGTTAGTGGAGGCATTTGGGTACTGATCAGTTTTCTCAAAGAGTACACCTTTAATTATTTAGAAAATGTAGGTTCATGTGAGAGATTTGTTTGGTTTTTATTCTATTTTTCAGTTAAAATTGGTTAATATACTCTGCAGATACACCCTCGGCGGATTTTTTCTTGCCAATTATGCAGACAGTCCTGCTGGAAATTTTGACGAGGTTTTGTCTTTATTTATACATTTCTACTTATTTATTTCTGAAAAAAAGAAGAAAAAACAAAAACGCTTAAGACCACTATGATATCTGGGGATGTTCAGTATTCTATCTTGGGCAGAAACAAATACTACTTTGTTCTTAGTGTAATGTCAACTAGCTTAACTTTTATTTGGCCTTAATACTTTACAGCTTGTGGTCCTAGCAGGAATTGTTTGGAATCCTCCTACATCCTGTGCGTAAGTTGTTCGGCCAATCTTTTTAGACTCATGTAATGGGTATCTCTGTTATGGTCTATTTAGTCTCCGTAGTTTTTTGTGTTGTTTTCCCACTTTCCCTATCTTTTAACTTTAGTTTATTTTTTCTTCACTTTCTATTGGTCGACTCTTCAGTTGATAAATTTGTTTCAAGAAATTTGCACCATGATTGCTTCCATGCGTAGACGAGATTTTGATCTTAAGATGAAATATTGATTAATATGCACTCATGAAAGCTTCTAGGTTTATAAAGATGTTCTTAGTACAACTCTATTATGTAATAACTTTTACAACTCACCTATCAAGTGTCTGAAAACAATTGGGAGATGAAGCGTGTGGATATTTTGTTATGAGGTATATGCTCGAGATTATATCACTTGACATTACCGACTCGTTTGAAGAGGTAAGTTTTTATTAAAATCAACTTATTGTTGTATTTGAAATCACACAATTCAATAGAGGTTATAGTGATAATATTTGTTTGTATCATGTAGGCTTTCAACATTGATGGGCCATATTCGGACGAGGACATTGAGAATATAAAAATGCGGTGGACAAGTACTTTCTTAAGGTTACTTCATTAGGAAAATAGACTTATCAATTTTGTCACGTTTTATAGAATTTGAACTTTATAACAAATTATGGTTGATGACTGTTGTTGGTGTAGTGCATATGGAAACTATTGTTATAACTTGGTGTTATTGAAATATGTTGGTTGTTAGTACTTGTCATGTGGCATTTTGAATTGTGAGAATATTTTGAATGTATGAATGTTATTATTTTATAGTAATAGATTTTTAGATTTATAGGTAAAAAAAATGTATATTTAAATAAAATCGTTGTAAAATGCTTGATTTTACATCGGTTTTTAAAAGCTAATGTAAAAACCGATGTTAAATGTCTTTATTTACATCGGTTTTATCAATAACCGATGTATATATGTCTTTATTTACTGTATCATGACATCGGTTATTTTGATAACCGATGTTACATGTCTTTATTTACATCGGTTTTATGAATAACCGATGTATATATAACTTTTTTGCATCGGTTTTTATCAAAACCGATGTTAAATGTCTTACTTTACATCGGTTGTTAAACGAACCGATGTAATATAATCGATTTTTTCCATTTTCGAGACTTATTTTTTTCCATTATAACATCGGTTGTTCTGAAAACCGATGTAAATAAGTTTTTTTTTACATCGGTTCAAAACCGATGTAAAAAAGGCTGACTTTTAACATCGCCTGTTTTAACATCGGTTCTAAAAAGGGGTTTTAACCGATGTGAAAGTGATTTTTAACCGATGTGAAAAGTGTTTTTTCCACTAGTGCTAAAACCGATTCTAACTTAGGCATCGGAGGGTCTATCCCTAGGGACAACCCGGGGTTTTGTTTTGCAGGCGTCGGAGTAAAGGAGACGAGTTCAGGAGGACGTCGGAGCATACACCGTCGCCACGTGTTCTCTAACTAACGTCATATATTTCTTGTATCATCACATAGATTAGAAATAGCTAATTGATTTTCAAAATATGATTGACATTGTTAGCTTGATATATATTTCCAAGTAAATGTTTATAAAGTAATAAAAATAAATTGTTTTTCATGTAATTATATTTATTCTAACAATTTAGTTATAAATTTTTAAGTACATTTATATTATTATTTTTTTTACTTACAATATTAAATGAAAAATCAAAATAAATAATATAAATTAAAGAAAAAAGAGCAGTTGTAAAATAGTTTCTAAATATTTAATTGAAGTTTCCCAAAAGAAAAAAATGAAACATATATCACTTAATCATCTATCATGCAAGAAAACGTGATGCTACTCAGTTAATTAAAACGAACAAAATGGAACACTAATCATGTAATAAATGGGATGTAATAAAGAAAATGATAAAGCACAACCTAAAACACTGCTAAAAGCAACGTTTCAAAACTTGGCGTTTCTGTACAGAACGCTGAATGAATCCGCTAAATACAAAACATATTTTTTAGTTGGTCAACCGATCAAATAAGCTAAATATGGTCAAACAGCTAAAAGTTGACTGAAACACCAAAAAACAAACAAGGCCTTTGAGTTTTTCTACATATAATGTAAAGTTCTCTTCAGAATTAATTCTTATATATGTGTAATGTATAATGTTTAATATGACGATTGTGTAAATAAAAAAATAAAAAAAAAAAGAGAAAAGTGGAGTACCCGCCCAGACTCGGATCAGGGCACGGGCCCGACCTGCTGTACCCGTTGCGGGTTGCGGCCCAGGTCAGGTCCACGAGGCTGAAACGCGGGCCAAGTCCAGGTCTAGTTCCGCAACTATCTATCCCGACCTGACCCATTGCCATCTCTAGTTGAGTTTAAGTATAGTGATTAACACTTTTATTATGGAGCTATTCATACTTATTCACAAATAGTGTATTGACACGTGTCTTATAATAAATATACTTTAGATAAGTTTTAATATATTGTTTATGATTGCATAAAAAAACCATCAGATGGTCCAAATTTATGTGGTGATTAAAAACAAAATAACTTTACTAATGGGGTGATTGGATATAAATTCAACTAGTTAAAAACTAGTTTTTTTTTTTAACTATAGTTAAGTTTGAAAAAAAGTAATATGGTTAGTTGTTAGTGAATATATTAAAATTTTATTTAAATTAAAATAATTAAAGTTGATTTGATGTAAAAGTAAGAGAAAATGATTGAAAGTAATGGTTAGTTAAAATTATGTGAGTGGGTGAATAGTGAATTAAAGTTGATGTAATGTGTAATAATGATTGGTTGATATTATTTAATTATATTGATAATATTGGGAATAGTGAAGTTGAGTTAAAACTGAGTTAAATTTGAGTTTTGAGTGGGATATTTACTGTACAAACCAGTGTATATCCCGTGCGATGCACGGAAGAGTTCATATTTTAAACATTTTTTAGACTTTATTTTAAATGTAATTATTTATATTTTTCACATCTCGTCTATTATGAAAATAAAATAAATACAATCAATGAAAAATATATATTATTAAATATTTTTTTTTATACAATATTTTTTATTTAAGGAATATTATTAAACCTTACGGTTTTGATTTGTTTTTTTTAAATCAATAATCCAAAATATATGATTGTTAACGTAAAAAAAATAATGGAAATAATCCAGATTTTAAAGTAAAGCTATTTTTTATTATTTTACAAATAAAAATCTTTCAAATTTTTTTTAATTTCAAAAAAAATTTGGCAAGTTTGATAATGAGTTAAATCAAGTTATACAAATGATTAAATAGTTAAAATGTTATATTAATTATATATTAAGAAATCCGATTATATAAAAATGAGTAAAAAAATATTATACTAATTAGTTTGTTAGGATTGTGATTATATGGAAGTTAAAATAAAATGAAATGTAACCAAAAAATTTGTTCGTGGTCTTTTTCCTTTAAATGTTTGAATTTAAAAATCTAGTAACCAAATTTACATTATATCACGTAAGGAAAAAAATAAATAATAAATATTTATTAAAGGGATAAATGAATAATATTTATCATTTAGATAATAAATAATAAATATTTACATGTAAAAAAATAAATAATAATATATTTAAAAATATAAGTCAGAATTTCAAATAAAGTAAAAGGAGGGATAACTCATTTTTAAAAAAAGTTTCTAAATATTTAATATATTGATAAGTATCTCCATAAGAATAATCATACCATTTTTATTTTAAAAAAATTAGCAAGTTTGTTAGAGAGATAAATCCGGTTAGACAAATGATTAATTTGTTAAGATATTATATTAATTGTATCATAAAAAGTCGGTTAGATAATGTAGATAAAAAAATATAATACTAATTAGTTTGTTAGAAATGTGATAATGAAAACCAAGATAAAATGAAATTTACCCAAAAAAATTGTTTGGAATCTTTTTCTTTAAATGTTTGAATTTACAAATTTAATACCGAAATTCTATTATATCACATAAGGAAAAAATAAATAATAAACGTTTATTAATATATTAAAATATGTAATTTTGAATTTCATATAAAGTAAAAGTTATGCTTATTCAAATTTATTTTTAAAATAAAAGTTATGATAAACATTTATTGATTTTTTTTCAAATATATTAATAAAATAAAAATATAAATCTAACAAATTTTGAAACAACCAAAAAAATCGGATTGATTGGCATAAAAAGAGGAAGTGAAATCGGATTTGAATGCTAAAGTCGGAACACCTTACCAAATTGAATGCTAAAAGATTCGATTTGATTGGTTACCTAATTACATGGACTGAAAAAATTAAAAAAAAAAAAAATTTACAAATTGAAAGAGCGGGAAAAATACTATATTGAAGAGGGAAAACGAAATAATTTTTTTCGGATTGTTCAAATAATTTTTCTTCTCCGTATTATATAGTAATAGATTATATACCATCACGCCCTAAGTTTCCAGAAATACCAATTAAATACGCCCCTCAAACGGGTATGATCATATGGAAACGTGCCCTTAGACCATCTACAATGGGGTTGCTTAACTGATTGCTTAAAAATAAGCAATTGCTATTTAAGCAATTTCCCATTGTGAAGAGAAGACAAGCAATTGCTTAGGTTAAGCAATTGCTTGAATAAGCAATCCACAAGCAATCAGAATTCGTGGGCCAATGAACCAGAAAATGGCGCAAGACATGAGAGAAAGGATGAGAAATCCAAAATTGCTTCAACCAAAATTTAAATTCCAGAGAACCAGAATGAACAACAATTACAAGAAAAAAAATTGCAAAGGGAACCAGAAATTGTAAAGAATTCCATAATTTTTAAAATGAAAAATTTTATACAATAAAAATCAGATCATCAACAAGAACAATTAAAATAGCAAGAAAAACAGCAATTAAAATCATCAACAACAACAAGAAAATAGAAATTGCGCAAGAAAAAAACCAGATCAGAAGCACCGGTCTTCTTCTTCTTCATCTATTCCTTCCTCCGAGCAACCGCATGTGTACTCAAGCTATTCCCTCCTCCGAGCTCGCAACCGTTCCGAGGTACAGCGTCTCCGGCTTCCCTCTCTTTCAGTCGCCGATGGTGGTAGGCGAAGGCAGCAGCGGCGGCGAGGAGAGCTAAGGAAACGAGAGAGAGAGAGACAGCGACGGCGGTGGTAGGCGACGGCAGCAGCGGCGGCGGCAAGGAGAGCTAAGGAAACGAGAGAAAGACAAGACAGCGACGGCGGCTTGATCGCGGCGGCTAGAGAGTGGCTAAGGAGAAAGGAAAGTGGTGGTGAGGGTTTTGACAAGAGAAAGAAAGAAATGAAGTGGGAAGGTTCCAGAGAGATGAAAAAGGAGCGGTGGGTACTAGTGGAGTAGTGGAGTATTTTTTTTCATTTTTTTTTATAAATATAAAATTATAAATATAATAATA